ACAACTCTTCTTTGGCGTCAGTCTCTCAGGATTCCTGGATTTCTTGGATATCCTCTTCTATAATTCGGGGTGGATCTTGGATCTCGCACTTGGATTTTCTGCGCCGCTTAACAGTTCAACCTCTTAGGATTTCTTTCTGGTAACGGACTGGATTTTTGGATGTTTGATATTTGACTCACACTGGCCTTTGGGTAAAGTTGGGGTATGCGATTCTGTAATAGTTCAGCTTTTCTTTGCTTTAATTTTATTTTAGTTTAGATTTCTTTACTTGTATGAATCGTGAAGCTACTTTTTTTATTTTTTATTAGTTTATTTTCTTATTTTTGTAATATTGTTCGATTATATTTTCGAAGTTCAAAGTATAAATAAAAGATAAAGTCATAAGACTGTTTGTAAAGCAAAAGGATAAAACTACCACCATTCGATTCATCTCGGTGAGACGATTCTAACAAGCTATGATACATCTTTGTACGATTATTAGATGCCAAGTTATTTAATATATTCTTTATATAACTGTGATTATAAACGGTTCTTTTTAATATAAGATTTTTGAGGATAGGTGTGATAGTGACTATAGATAGATTGTGACTATATAGGATAGTTTTTAATAATAAAGTGTTTTGAATATTCAACTGGTGTGACTATATAGTAGAATGTGACTATAACGGGAGTGACTATAGAGGGAGTTGACTGTAAATAAAAAAAAATGTTTTTTTTAAAAGTTTCGAAGTTTACTTCGAAACTTACCCATATATCCAAAGACCTATAACCGAAAGAACCTACAAAATATAAGAAAGAAAAAATTAAAAAAAAATTAATTATTTTTAAAGTTTCGATTCTTTTCGAAACTCACCATATAAATCTAACGCCCAAGAACTGAAAGAAACCTACAAAAAAAATTAAAAAAAATTAAAAATAAAATAAAAAAAAATAATTTTTTTTTTAAAAGTTTCGAAGTTTACTTCGAAACTTACCCATATATCCAAAGACCTATATAACTGAAAGAATCTACAAAATATAAGAAAGAAAAAATTAAAAAAAAATTAATTATTTTTAAAGTTTCGATTCTTTTCGAAACTCACCATATATATCCAACGCTCAAGAACTGAAAGAAACCTACAAAAAAATTAAAAAAAATTAAAATAAAATAAAAAAAAATAATTTTTTTAAAAAAAGTTTTGAAATTTTACTTCGAAACTTACTCAAATATTCAAAGCCCACCGAAAGTCGAAACCTACAAAATAAAAAATATAAATAAAAAAAATTTTTTTTCTATCAATGCCAATAGAAGAATAAGGGCGAAAGAAAGAAAAAGAACGAAATAAGGGAGGGAAATACGAAATGAGAGGGGAAATAACGAAATGAGGGAGGGAAATAACGAAATAAGGGAGGGGAAATAACGAAAAAAGGAGAAAAAAAAAGGGAGAAAGAAATAGATAGGGGTGAAGGAGCCACATTAAAAAACCCGCTTTTTTTTAACTTAATCTGGATAATCTCACGTTAAAGATGGTGCCGCAAATAGGTAATTGCGGTGCAATTACGCAAATAATCTGTAATTGCGGATAAATTTCGGAATCGCAAAAAAATACAATTTTAAACTAAACGATTATTTCTTATCATTAAAGTAAAAGAAAAAATCGTTTTCATTAATAAATTTAAAAAAAGAATGATTCTTTTAAAAAAAACTGATCAGCCGGTTAATTTGACGGTTATTGTTGATCCAGCTGATTTGATTTTTTTAATATTCAGCCATAAACCGGATAATTCAATGGATATTGGATAATCCGTCAAATTATCTGGCTGAATTTGGATTTCTTTATTTGCAAAAATGCATTTTTTTACCAATTCAATTGCATTTTTTGAAAAATATGATAGAAACTGTCAGTAAAATGTGTTTATAATAATGCCACAGTTCCACATTTGCAGACTAATTGCGGAATTGCGCAATATTATTGATATTAATTAATTAAAAATGGTTAAAAATCGTCAAAAAAGTTTTAAGTTGATCATCATTGTTAATAAAAAATCGATAAAAAAAAGTATTGGTCGATTTATGGTTTTTTTTATGTTACAACTCAACCAAAAATCGACCAAAAAACTTTATGCCAAATTTTTTCCAATTTTTATGATTAGCCGAATGTGTGATGAATCACGTGATGGCGATGATGAACTTTTGACGAATGGTATTAATGCTGAAAGAAATGATTTCGACCAGTGTACGCCACCTGAAACATCAAATTACGTTACAATTGCTTAAGGAAATAAGACTTACTCAAGCAAACTGGTGTATTACATTGATCAAATTCGAAGTGGCAATGTTTATACATCAACTGTTAAGAAAAAGGTTGATAAAAGAATCGAATTTGGTAATACGATGTCCGTTGCGAAGACTAGTGTTCAAATTGCTGTGGTGGAAGGTGCAACGGGGGAACTGACTGGACTTCTCTCTCAATTTATAATGAAATATCAAAACAACACAGGACTAAATATATATCAATGAAGTCCAAGAGACCTTTTCTTATGATGTTACGAAGAATAACTACCAACGGCAACCATTAGAACCGTTGGTTATAGTGGATAATAATAGTATTCCAGAGATATCAAATCCCGAGTATCACAAGCCAAAAGGGCATCCTCCCAAACATTATAAGTCGCAAATGGAAATGACCAGTAAACAAAACATAACTTCATCTTCTAAGACGTGTAGTTATTGCTTAGAAAAAGGTCATAATATCAGAAGCTGCGCAAAAAACAAAGCTTCTGTTCAGTAAATGTGTTTCTTCGGTATGGTAGCTAGATAAAAAACACACCCAATACTTCTTTCATTGGGAATATATGCACTCGTTGTGGGAATAAATGATGTACTGTACGTTATACAACATTTGATTGGTTTAATATTAGCGGGTTTAGAGATTAACGAGATTGTAGAATAAAAAATGAATGGGTGCAAACTTTAGTTAGGTTTTGGAGGTTAGGGTTCATAATTTTAAACGTCTAGCCATATTTTATTGTCAATTATAAACATGATTATAAACTTAATAAATAAAAATGAATGTTTTGCGATAAATTCACTTTCTAATTATAATCACGTGACACCGGTGATGATTACCGCCGGTGATAAATAGCAAACTTCTATTTATTAAGTAATTATTATAATTAAAAGAAAAATAAAACTATCACTTGTTCATGAAAAGCTTCATGATGATCACAACCGCAAATATTGACTTCTAAAGAGTCTGGCTTTTGCCAAAACTTTTGGCAGCCACAATCCTTTTTATAGCATTTACCTGAACCAAACATAATTTTACGAAAAAAAAGTAAACTTTAAAAAGAAATGGAAATTTATTGAAGTATAGATTGTATAGAAAAAATATATTAAATGTGAAGAAAAGTAAGTTGTTGTGAATGAAAAAGAGATTTTGTGAGAAAAAAGAGACTGTTATGAGAGAAAACGAGACATTTATGTAGAAGTACGTGTACAAGGAGCAATATATAGTAGTGGAACATGTTCACTAAAGAAAAAATTAGAAAACGAAAGTTTGCGAAAATAGGTATCATTGATATTTGGAAATTTGATGTTAGATTTTGGTCATACTATAACAAGTAATTCTAAATTTATAAAATTGCCTTTTATATTTAAAAAAAATTACTAAGAATAGTTAAAATTAAAAAATAGCAATATATATGCTAGATTTATTAGTAAATGATTTACTTAATCAGGCAACTGTTTGCCTATCAGTAAACTTTTTTAAACGGTTTGATGGTGAACGACAAAGATTATAGCTGTAAAATCAAACAGTTTGACGGTGATGGCAAAGGTTATGGTGAAATTGGTAAAATATTTGACTGTCACAGTTAACCTTAAACGTCAAATAATTTAACCCTTAACATTAAATTTCTGTCCAGTCTGGCATGCCATATCTGTCCAGCCTGGCATTCCATACTATTCTAGTAACTGGACATATTCCATCAGGATTTTCTAAATACGGTAGTGATATAGTGATAATCAAATCGAAAACATAATCACCATTTTACTTCTCTTATTATTCATATCTTGCAATAAAAGCTCTGCATCTTTAATGTTACCATGATCACGAAATAAAAAATATGGAAGTGAAATTGAGTTCATACACTGGTAAAAAAATGATTTATCCTACACATATCTTACACATATTGGGTACTCAAAATGTAGAAAATCATACACAAATAATACACATATCATACACATATCGGGTACTAATATATATATCATACATATATCAGGTACCTGATAGGTATACTATATATATAAGTACCCGATATGTGTATGATATGTGTATTATTTGTGTATGATTTTCTACATTTTGAGTACCCGATATATGTAAGATATGTGTAGGATATGTGTAGGATAGACCATTTTTTTACCAGTGATAGTGAATATGGAAATAGTTCTACTTAAGTGCAAACAGTAAAGGGCTTGAGATTGGTTATATGCAATGGCGAAAAGGTAACTATTTACATAAACATATTTATTTACGATAAAACTGTTTATTATCTAGTAGTTAAGAGGTATACAATAATGGCTGAAGAATCATATTACTTATTTTTTCACTGTTTCACATTTAGATATATTGTGGACTCGAAAGTTCTTTCTGTCGAGAAAATAATGTAAAACACAAGAAAATCTATTCTTTATTATTGTTGTTTCGCAACTGACAAAACATTTATCCTATATGGGTTGTGCGTAGTTACAACAAATACAATGAATTAATGGAACGATTTGGGAATGCTCCACATTTTGTTTTCGATTACTATCCTTATCTATTTCCTATCTGTCTGGACAATTTCTTTTGAGAATCTATTTGTTGTTTAAGAGCAATGTCGAATAGACCCCTAGTGATGTGTAGAACCATACAAATGTGCTATAATCAATAACCCTATCATGACCCAATGCTTAAGAACATGGCCACGTTTAAATCAGTGTTATTATGGACAGACATTTTCTCTTATATTTTAGAAGACGTGTTGTTAACAACATGGTATGATAAGGTAATTATGTGATTCTGACTGAAGACAATAACAAAAATGGATGATAACAGAAACATCAACATCTGTATGAGAGAAATGAAATATGTATCATGTGAACAAGATATCGATATAGGAATTCGATATAGGAATTCGATCACGTATGTATTTTGATGAAGGATGATTTCTCAAAACTAGTAATAGAAACAGGGATATTAGAAAAATGATGACAAAAATTATGCGAAATAATTTTATTTCCTGGTGGTTATTGTTTTCAATAATCAAAACGCCAGATAAGTAATGATAGACACAATTATTGATATTAAGCATTCAACTACAAATATCAATGGCAATAAGAAAATTACCTGAAGGGCGCTATTCCGGAGGAACTCTAAAGAGAAGCGTAACTAGTGGGAATGCGGTAATCATTTTTTTTAGTAATCGAAAACAAGAATAATGTCCGATATCTAACTATCCTATACAATAGTGTATCTTCTTGATAGTTTCATGTTATCCTAAGTTAATTAGTCTTCGATTGACTACAAAAATGGGAATATGTTCACTCCTAAGTCAAATTTCAATTACCCATGAATTATTAGGTATTTCGGATATTTTATATTTTTGTTGAAGCCCCTTTCGAATAGTGACTTATGTAAACAAGTATACATGCAGTTTAATACAAATTCTTAGTTCCTACGTTAACACTAATTACCTTTTCATGTTTATTCTAGGAATTACTTATTGGAGTAATAATATTCCACCGTTTATTTTGGATAGAGTCGATCTTCAACTAAAACGTTTGATAGACTTAAGAGGTGTGTTGTCGATGATGTGCGATACGAAGGATCATTTCTCCGAAACTAGAAATCGGAATTCAGAAATGCTGATAGATCAACAATATATTAGCGAGTTACTGTTAGATCATTTGCATGCTAATATATTCTGGTTGTTTGTACACAATAGGATTATTGCTTATATGTAGACAGCTAGAGTTACAATGTTATTAATCCAGATTTGTGAAACAGATCCCTGATAGTCTTGCCATTCATTACGATTTGTTTTTGAAGATTCCTAAAGTCGGTATGGTTCATTGAGAAAATCTGAATTCCGATAAAGTAAGATCCTATGTTTTATGCTGTCAGCAGAATGCAGTTGGAGCTATCCTACGTCCAAAATGTTAATACTTTTATTTCGATATTCAAGGATAGAATCGTACAATTTGGGATTTGCAATTCATGGGCTAAAACCCGTTACTCAATCAGATTATCGAATTGTTACCAAGCCCTACCGATATACTCTGCAAATCATCGAGTTCGTATAAATACTTTAAACAAGACAAGTTACTTTATTATGTACCACTTAGAGCTCCGAATAGGTCAGCCAAATTCAGGTAACCTGACCTAACCTGACCTGAAATTCAGGTCAGGTATGAGATTTTTAAAAAAAATTCATGTCAGGTATGAAGATTGACCTGACCTGATTGACCTGTTGACCTGAAACTATTGATTCTACTATATAATAAAAGTGAGTTGCAGTATTGCGATTCACTTTTTTATATTGATTTTATATAATAAAAGTGAGTTGCAGTATTG